TTTTGCTTTTGTTAATTGTATAATAAATAAAAAGAAAACACATAGATAGAATACAAAAAGATTAGAGAACCTAGTGTTAGTTTTTTTTAAAGAAAACATTTATATTTATATATAAAAAATTTATTTATTAAAACATTCTTTTATAATCACTAAAAGATCATGTGACACTGAAGACTGGAGTAATGGCTGCTAAAAATTCAGCTTTGCATCTCAAAAGTAAATTGCATTTTAAAATATATTCAAATAAATAAAAATTGTTCACAAAATTACTGTTTTTGCTGTATATTTAGTCAAATTATTGCAGTCTTGGTGACCATAAGAGACTTTAAAAATTAAATAAATAAATATTCCAAACTTTTGACCGGTAGTAGTACTCATAACCCTATGTATTAAACTTTATTGCGTGACTCATAATGCAGATTTTTGTTCATATTGTATTACTGGTTGAGAAGAGGTGTGCAAGTCCTTTTCTAAGCAGTTTTTTACCCACCCGATGATAAAACGGGTAAAAATGGCTTGGGCCAGTAAGCAAGCCCCTAAAACATAGCAACCTGCTAGAAACCACCCAAGGCATCCTCGCAGCTACTTAGCAATTCCATTGTAACATTCACAACACAAAAAAGCAACCACCTAGCAACGCTCTAGTAACTGTCCTGAATACATGAGAAGCTACCAAGATGACCTAGCAACCACTTAGAATACCCTACACATATTAAAAGAACTCGGAACACCTTAGCAACTGCATAACAAATACATAACAACTAAATAAGCAGCTTGAAGGCAAGTTTTATATAAGCAAGCACTTTAGACAATGTAAAAATCTAGTGTTTAGCCTTGCTCTATTTTTTACCGATTTTAAAAACAAATTTTTTCAGAGCAAGTATACGACTCTCAGTTACCTATAGATCACCCTTGACCACAAGTTTAAAAATAAAAAAGGCACAACTGCATGGTTGTATGTAGTAAAGAGGCGAACAGGTTTCATTGTGTTTGGTTTTTTTGTTTGTTCATCTCCTCTCTTTCCTTCCTGTATTTGTCATCCTCTCATCGTCTGCGTCTGTCTTCACCACGCCTGTCTGCCTGGATCTGTCTCTCTCTGCTTTGCATGGACACTTTCTGGCTTTCCATATTCTTCTCTTTTCATGACGCAATCGCTCTAAAGGAGGGGATCTGTCTCCCTCTGTCACCCCTGCTCCAGAAACACTCCGGCAGAGGAAGAGTAAGTATTTCCCCCCAGCCTCATTATGTGTGTGTGTTTGTATTTATGTCTCGTTCTTTACTCCAATTATTCTCTTTCCCTTCATCGAGAGAACCGAGTGTGTCGTTTATTTGGCTACTGGACCACAAGCTGAAGTAAACCTAATATTTTCAATATTACCATGCACTTCTCACTAGTTCAGATAGCCAAAGAAACCACAGCACCCAGCGTGATTTTTCTGTGATCCCAGTTGCGATCATCCCACAGAATTCCCAGATGCTGCGGGGACTCTGGCACATCAGCTGTGATTGTTTATATAGCGTAGCTACATTGATTGATGAAATTGTGCGGCGAGTGAGGTCGTTGAACCACTTTATCACAAATACAGTGAAGTCAACATGAAATGACATTCACAGCCAGTTTTACTGACGTATTTCTGACAGTGTTGGGGAAAGTTACTTTTGAAAGTAATGCATTGCAATATTGCGTTAAAAGTTACTAATTGCGTTACTTAGTTACTTTTGATGGAAAGTAATGTATTACATGACTTTTGCTTTACTTTTTGTCAACTAAGCTGGGCTTGTTTTGTATTTTTTAATAATAAAAAACCTAAAAAGTTTTATTTTTGGCAACTATAAAGGCCCTTTCACACCAAAAGTTAAATGAATAAGCCTCAGGCTGAAGGAAGAAACTTTGCACCTTACTCTCGATTTCACTCAACACGGGACAGGAGAGGAGTCAGGAGTGAATAAATGGGAAAACAAAGTAATTTTGAAAAAGTAACTCAGATATTTTCTTGTAAATTTGAAAGTAATGTGTTACACTACTAGTTACCTGAAAAAGTAATCTGATTGTATAACTCGCATTACCCCCAACACTGTTTTCTGAGTGAAATGGCGATAAAAACCACAGGATGGAACTTTTCTATTTTGTAAATGGCTGTAAAAAAGTGGGCGTGGCATACCAGAATGAAGCCAGGTGATTGGTTGACAACTAAGAGGGCTTGATGACATCAGAGACACAGAGAAAGCTATTATATTTTGATGAAAGTTAATTTTGAGAAATACAATGCACCGGTGAACCATGCACAATAAGATTAAGTAAATATGGTGTGAATTTTGATTTCATGTTGACTCATCCTCAGAAAAATCCCTGTGGAATTAAAACCACTTTCAATTTGGAATAAACTGAATTTACAAGCAGTTCATCTATTAAAGTGGCATGTTTTGACATTAGTCTGCGCATAGTGAGTCATGCTTTAATGAATGAGTATAAAGGTGTGTAAACAGTGGGCGGCCTTATTGACTTGCTGTGCCGTCAACGCAGCGCCTTCATCCTACGCCACATCATTCCTCGCTATGCACAGCTATTGTGAACATCCTGATCCTCTTTTTTCTGCTCATATGCAGGCACAAGTTCTTCTGATTGCCTTTGTTTAAGTTATATTAAAGTGATATTTAGCTACAGGTCATGAATGAAGATTTGCCAAGTCAAGGTTGAAGGTAACGTACATTGCGTTTGTATTAAGCTATATGATGATTTATTTGAACTAGCAATAGGTCATGTTGGGCAAAGTATCTAAACGAGCACAAGGAGGAATGATATACAATCATTTTCATTTATATGCCTCAATATAGTAATTACCAGCAATATTTGCCTGCATATTATTTGATTAAATACTTTAATATACGTGCTAACATTTTGAGTGATGTCAGAAATCTTTAGATTCTTCAGAGTTGAATCAATTTTTATATATATATATATTGGACCTCATTCGGTGAGTGCACACAGTTGCAAAATTGTGTATTTGTAATCTGGGCCATATTTTCTTGTTTTGCTAATGGTTTTTGAGGATTAGGGCATGTCAGACAACCTGTCCATGTCAGCACTGATAATAATCAGAAATGTTTCCTGAGCAGCAAATCAGCATATTATACTGATTTCTGAAGGATCATGTGACACTGAAGACTGGAGTAATGATGCTGAAAATTCAGCTTTGATCACAGCAATGCATTTTTACAAATATTTTTAAATAGAAAACTGTTATTTTAAATATGTAACAATATTTCACAATCTTACTGTATTTTCAATCAAATAAATGCAGATGCCGATCTCTCTAATTTGACTAGTTTCTACCACGTTACAGTTCATTTGTTCCAAAATACCGCAGAGTTTGCACACACATCCCTTTAAAAGCTGATAAACATATAGTTTTGCTATTGTATCTGTGAACAATTTTATGGCTAGTTCCATTTGTTTTTTCTTAGCTGGTCTTGTTTGCTGGCTATAAAGAGGTTTTCTATAAGCTAATTAGGACTAGACCAGTTTTAACCAGCTAAGAGGCCATCTTAGTATGGTTTATTTATTTATTTATTTTATATGTGTGTGTACTGTGTATATTTCTTATGTATATATAAATACAAACACATGCATGTATATATTTAAAAAAAAAATGTTACCTTTATATATTAAACATATTTATACATGATATAATTTATATTAATATAAATGCATACATGTAAATACTAGTGCTGTCAAACGATTAATCGCATCCAAAATAAAAGTTTTTGTTTACATAATATGTGTGTACTGTGTATATTTATTATGTATATATAAATACACACATACAGTATATATTTTGAAAATATTTACATGTATTTACATGTCTATATTTATATTCATATAATTTATATTTAAAAAAAATATTTAATATATAAACAACATATTTTTCTTAAATGTATACATGCACGTGAGTGTATTTATATATACATAATAAATATAACGCAGTAGACGTACATATATTATGTAAACAAAAACTTTTATTTTGGATGTGATTAATCGTTTGATAATAAAAATATATACATGTAAATATTTTCAAAATATATGCTGTATGTGTGTATCTTTATATCTACATAATAAATATACACAGCACACACACATATATTAAACAAAAACTTTTATTTTGGATGCCATTAATCGCGATTAATCGTTTGACAGCACTAAATTATTTATTTATTTTTAGTGGGGAATGTCTTTGCATGGTCAGTTGTAGGGTATGAATGGATTTATAAGCATCTTCTGAACAGACCATCAACAGAAATGGCCTGTCGTTCTGTCATGTTTATGTGATGTGAGACTCTGTTAATCCACTGGAGAGCTGGAGGAACAAGTGTGAGGCGAGAGGAGGGTCAGTGAGAGCGAGGAGAGGACGTAAGGTCAGTGAGTGGACTTCAAATCCAGCTCCAATTTGGCAGCCGTCTCTTGTCAGAGTTGATTACCGCTGATCCGTTCAGACTTCCCCCAACTGTGATGAGCCACCAGCAGTAAGCGAACGCAGTGGTTTTTGTTCTTGCGGGAAGAGAGGAGAGCTTGTAGATCTTCTCTCAGTCTGAGAAGACTTTTTCATGACCACAGCTATGACAAAACAATAGCACGTCTGTTACGAGACACTCTGGAGATTTCAATCAAAAACAATAGTCAGGTGACGTACGTTTATTTGATTATTTCTTTAGCAATATTGTGTAGTTTATTTCAGTTCATATGTTGAAGAAGAAAATAAGTTATGTTAATAGTTTGAGTAGTTATACATTTTAAATTCATATATTTTTCTATGTATTTATTTCTTTTTATTTTTTAGTCCATTTATTTAATAATTCATTTTTACGGGGTTTTATTGCAGGGTAGATTTATGCTGTATTTATATTTAGAAAGTCTCTTGTGCTCTTCTGGTGGATTAAACATTCTGGTTATATGTAATTTATCTCCTTTATTTAATAGTTTTTTTTAATTATTTAATTTGTTCACATTGTTAAATTTGTAAATATAAAGTGGATAAAATCAGGTTAAAGCAGCAAAACGAATGTGTGGATTTTTTAAAGATTGTTGAAAGATCAACAACCTTTTGTTTCCTGGCACTGTAATGTATTATGGGACTAAAGCAGAGGCCACTTTTGGTCAAGTAGATTATGTTATATAATAATCTTTAATTGAATAAGTTCCATATTTTCTCATAAAATCCCATTTGTCCTCATTTGCCAGCCACTGTTGTTCTTCCAGTCAGATTCACCAAACCTGCTGTAAAGAATTATGCATATTATATTATACATAGCAGTGGTCAGAGCAATCGAATGCGTCATAGATTTGAAATCATTTTGATGGTTGAAACTTCAACAAAGGCCTGACCTTTTCTTTGTTCGCTTTTCTTCAAACTGAGCTTTACCTGAGTCTTTTCTATGTTTTATACTTTATTCAGTGAGTGGATTCATTTCATTGGGAACTATTTAGTACCAGCACACAAGTTACTGACTGCTTCAGACATTTGTTTGGACGTCTGGGGTTTTGAATTAAATATTTAGGGGAGATAGAAGCTTGTCCGGTGTGTCTCTCTCTCTCGTTCTCTTCATGCATCCATCCATCCTGGCTCAGTTTCCCTCTGTCTTTATCACAGGCAATAAATCCTTCAACATGATGTCCCCCACTGGAGATAATTCTGAGCTTCTGGCCGAAATTAAAGCTGGGCCAAAACTGAAGCCAACACCTCAGAGTAAAGGCTACACGACCGTCTACTCTAACAGCAGCACAGCGGCGAACAATGTAGGTCACGCTCCCTTACTTTCACCGATTTACTTCTTACCTATGAATGTTTTACTTAGGAGCTTGTTTTGAGCTTTATGTTTATTCCTAATGGTAAATCTCATAAATCAAAAGTACTTTGTCTCATGAAATGAGTTATAGCGCTTGTCTATTTGTAACCTTTGATCTCTCATTTGAGTGTGACTGCTACTGTTTGGCTTGAAATGTGACCTAATAGTGTTTGCATTAGAAATGCTAATGACTATCCATAGAAACAAAAGCCAAATTGGATATGGCACATAGATAGCAATGGACAGGAGTCAGTGATATTTCTTGAGGTGCATGAGAGAGGAATTCTGTATTCGATAATACATTATAGAGATGGATACATTAAAATATAGATCAGTATTCCCAAAAAATATAAATGTAACTTCTATGGCCACAAAAAAAAATAATGAAATAATCCAGAACAAAGTTAGTTTCAGGGTATAAAGTTGCAGTTTGGATCATTATAAGAGTGCAGCTCCGTGATCTGGCACCAAATCCATTGTCCAGGATAATTCAGGCAGACTAGTGTGAGGCTTGTGTAACTCAGTTATGGGCGATGCAATACAATAGCACACATTTATTAAAGTTACGCAATTGAGGAAATGACAGAGGAGCATTCAAATCTTTTTTAGCTACCTTAATTTGCTGAGAATTTCAAGAAATTAATTACATCATCAGAAAACAAGTACAAAAGCTGTCACTGGGACAGTATAAAGGTATGCCTTTGTACATTTTAGTATCTTAAATGTACATATTTGTAGCTAAATGAAAACCTTTTGAAAATGTACCACCCCATTGACTGCTTCTGTACCCTTTTTCTGAGAGTGTACGATAAAGAACTCAGTCAAACAGTCAAAAAAATTTAATATAATTTTTTTTCCTAAATGGCAGAGTAATGGCATAAATACAAGTTTTCATTATTAGGAATTCTGAATTATGGTCATTCCAGAACACTCTGAACACAATCATACTATAATGCCAAAAATAACTTTATTTTACAAAGAATGTTTTGTTCTTTAGTTCTTTAGAAAATCATTAAAGGGGTCATATGATGCGATTTCAAGTTTCCCTTTCTCTTTGGAGTGTTACAAGCTGATTGTGCATAGATAAGATCCCTGAAGTTGCAAAGACTAAAGTCTCAGCGTTTGAGAGAGGCGGGGCATAGAGGACCTACAATAATGTACAGTATTTGAAAAATAATGTGTTTTTTGAACATTAAAGCATGTCAACATATTCTGTTACACCAAATACACATCATATGACCTCTTTAATGTATCGGTGCTCTAAAGAATCCTGAAACTAATACACTGATCTCAAGAACCTGTGTTCATTGAACATTGTTTAAAAAGTATTTTTAATTTCCAAAGAACCATAACCAACTCAAGAACCTTTAACAGTGAAAAATGGTTTTTGATAAGTATAGTAGACACATCAAAAATAGTTTATTGTACAAAAATAAACTAAAAAGTCTGTAAGATAAAAAACAATCACATTTATGCAGCCAATAATGTATCACTTAATATCTGGAAATATTGTTCACTTGACTGCACGGACACTAGTGGATGAGAACTGAACTGATGAAATTACTGTTTTCTCCAGAGCTATCTCTCTCTCTCTCTCTCTCTCTCTCTCTCTCTCTCTCTCTCTCTCTCTCTCTATCTCTCTCTCTCTCTCTCTCTATCTCTCTCTCTCTCTCTATCTATCTCTCTACCTACCTACTTACCTATCTATCTATCTATCTATCTATCTATCTACCTACCTACTTACCTATCTACCTATCTATCTATCTATGAATTAAGCTCGTTTCATAATTGATGGACTTTACACAGTTATTGAACCAAACTGAATCAACAATGAACTGATTTCAACTGACTCATTATTGTTTACCATTGTCTTTTCAGAGCTGCTCTAGAGCTGAACTAATTTCTGTTTGCATCATTGAATCATTGTTTTCCTGTTAAGCACTGTAAAGCTGCTTTGAAACAACCTGCACTGTATAAAGTGCTGTATAAATAAAGGATAAAAAATGTTGATCAGCACAAATCATTATCCACATTGCAAGTTAACCCTATTCTTTATAAGATGAGAGTTGTTTAGATGAGATCATTAGATGCTACAAAGAACTATTGATATAATTGTATTTTTAAGAGGGTTTTTTTTATTTAAGCCAGCTGTGACCATGTCTATATTTTTGTCTGGAACATTCTATTCTGATTGATCGTTTTGACATTCAGGGGGAACGTCCGTCATCGCCGCCAGAGCCTCTGCCAAAACCCCAGCCCAACAACACCCAATCTGCAAAGCCAGAGTCTCCACCGCCTGCTTGCCCACCCACTCCACCCGCTCCCACGACCAGCGGAGGGTCGCCCCAGAACCTGTCCACCTCACAGAGCAGCGAGAAGCTCGCAACTGCTGTCAACGGAAATACACCTGCTTTCCAGAGCAAGTCCAGCGTGGTGGACGTAGAGAGTCTGGTGCCCACACATGACGAGCAGGGCCGAGCCATCCCAGAGTGGAAGAGACAGGTGATGGTGAGGAAACTACAAGTGAAGATGCAGGAGGAGGAAGAGAACAAGAGAAAGGTGAGTGATGAAGCAGGTGGGTGTTTTAAACATAAGCTGAGGCAGTGCATCTCTTATCCAAAATGTCAACATTACTACAGCTTCATAACATACTTAAAGACCCCACGAATCAAAATTGGAGTTTTGTGGCTTTGAGTCCATGCGTTTAAAGGAATAGTTCACCCAAAAATGAAAATGTTGTGATCATTTACTCACCCTCATGTCATTCCAAACCTGTATATGTTTCTTTCTTATGATGAACACAAAAGAAGATATTTTGAAGAATGCTGGTTGATGGCCCCCATTGACTTCCATAGTATTTCTTTCCCTACTAAATTTTTCAAAATATCTTGTTTTGTGTTCAACTTAAGAAAGAAATCAGTACAGGTTTGGAACAACATGAGGGTGAGTAAATGATGACAAAATTTTCATTTTGGGTGAACTATTCCTTTAAGGTCATTTATATGCTAGCTATTCCTAAGAGCCGACAAAATGCACATGCACGCACAAAGTAGTCTTTATTATCTGGTTAAACAAAAAAAATGACTGATGACAAATTTTTGTCCCATAAAATGCTTCTTAGAATGAAAATGCCCAATCCCAAACAATGATATGTGCCTCTGACTAGCATTAGAAAGAAGCAAATCATAGTTCATCAGTGTGTCTGGTAGCACCTTAGATCAAGGAACACATATTCACTATTAACTAAGAGTTTTCCCTCAATAAACTCCCAATTTGCTGCTTATTGATAGTAAGTAAGGTAGTTGTTGTAGTAGTTACGTTTAGGTATTGCATAGGGTTAAGTATGGAAGCCCGTTTCTGGCATAAACTCACTATTCTGATTTTATAACTAGCAATTGCGAGTTTACATCTCACAATTCTGAGAAAAAAACAACAAATCAGAATTTTGGGATAAATAGCTGCAATTACCTTTTTTTTTTTTTTTTTTTTTTTTGGTGGCAGAAACGGGTTTCCATAGTTACGGGATCTAAAATATGGTCATGCATTAATTTGTACTTTATAAGTTTTAATAAACAGCCAGTATGCTAGTAATATGCATGGTAATAAGCAACTAGTTAATAGTGAACTAGTTGCTTTCTAATTGGTTGCAAAGTTTTTCCATATATGTGCTTTCCCAACCATTTGTGGTTAAACCAGGGAAAAACTCCTCAATGTTGCCCCACTTCCTGTTTCAGTAGGATATCCATCAATGCAGGGGAGAAAATTATGTCAAGGCATTTCATGGGGTCCTTAAGTATGTTAAATAATTGCTAAAATGTTCGGAATAGCATACTAACATACTACTGTTCATACTACAGTTTCTGCAGCAAATGTATTCTGTGCACAGTATGCAAATTGTCTTTATACATACAATGCACCGTAATTGACCTTCCATTTCAGTTGTGATGAATTAAAGTAATATAAGCTATTTTAAGACTTCTAAAATTTGTTAAGATAATATTTCATTTAAAATACAAAATAATCATATTTAAGCTAGTTTTCCCTTCTGAACACAGCCAGTCTCATAGTTATACCCAGTTGTTTTTAAATGTTTATATACAATGATGTTTATAAAATGAACTCTATTTTACAATGAATAAATGGAAATGAGTGCATTTTCTCAGCTTCTGACCTCAGCGCTATCCTCCTGTAGTTTTAGCAGTGTGAGCTATAGTATCACCTCTTTAGATTTTAAAAATGCTTATGATTTCAAATGTAAGTCATAGCTGTGAAATTGAGGTTTGATCTGTCTACATGGAGGATAGTGGAGCAGTGGGTGTCTGCATGGGGATTTTTGAGTTTTCTGTTTTAAAAAACTATATGCAAGAGCTAATTGCAAACATTATGCATGTGATCTTTCACTTCTCCATGAATGATAAATTGTATGATAAGTTTATGATATCTGAGGGTAACTAAAGCAGTGTGGTGTGAATGAGCAAACCTGTGCAGCTCTGAATCATTTCATAAATCCATTTTCGGATTAGCAGGAATTGTCAGCACATAAATCTTAGAAATTTGTTGTTAATAGATGCAAGGATGGAGAATTAGTGTTGGGGTGAGATATTATTTGTCAATGACTGAACAATATTGTGAGAGTGGTATATTTGTACATATTTTGTCCAAGGAACATTGTTTTTCATGACATCTTGTACCAGTAAAATAGGCCAGATTACTTATTCTTGCCTTAGATGGCATTATCGAATCCCTTTTGCTGTCTACTCTGTTCTTTCATATATATGTTTATTTATTGTGAACACATCGATGTGTCCCTCTGGCATGTACTTGACTGCAAAGTCAAATGGCGGGTAAAACAAACACACAGTTGTTACAGTTACAGTTGGCTCTGATTTGTAAAACTAGACCTTTAAGAGTTTAATATTACTGCTCAGACAAGGTTGGTTTCAGCTTATGGTAAGTCACCGTCTGAAAGCCAAAAATAAAACTCAATCTTCAGTTTTGGTCTGGGATTCATAGTGTGGGGTTTCAAGGGAGTGTTTTGCAGTGTGACATTTGGTTGGCTTTTCCTTTACTGTGTGTTGAGTGATGCAGTGTTTAATTTGGGGCTGTTGTGACCATCTCAAGACAAGCCTAAGTGGGTTTGACATTTACTAAGGAAGTATTAGTTGAATGTGGCTTACTGGCGATGGTGCACGACAGCTCTAAGTTTTTACATGGGGATTCAGTGGTGTGATGCAAAGCCCCTTCACACTGCAACTGGAGCTTACAGCATGAAGTGCACTTGGTCGTCTTGCTCATTCTACTCATTAAGCGATTTATTTTTTTCTTATACCTTCATACATCTTGTTAACGTCCTGAAAGTGTCTCAGTATTTATTTATTTATTATTTTAGATCATGTGCATATAGTCAAGTCCCTTGGAAACATGAGCTAAATATAATTGACAGATAAAGTACACATGAATTTCACACTTAAAGGAAACTTCTGGGTAACTTTCAAATGAATGTCTATATGGACAGCATCTATGGCAGGCTGTGGAATTACAGGAATTAAATTTAGACTTGGGAACATACTGTAAATACACTTACAATATACAACACTTACTTTAAATACACTTACAATGAAATACTAGCAAACAAGTGGCCAGCACTCCAAAATATATAGCTATCACATTGTTTCAGTATTATAGCCATAAGTCTTTAACATTGTGGTGTCATGAAAGTGTTGTTACAGAATTGCTTACCAACCCTCTCTCTGTACAAAATATTTTAATTCATGTTATGACAAAAAATGTAACCTCAGTTTGATTGATATCTGCACAAGCATATCAGCAAGAGACATAACATATCAGCTCCATGCATAAACAAAACGTATTTACATGGAGCTGAGTTATGCACAGTCTATCCACAAATATTATGCTGGTGGTAACTCGTAACTCCTAGTAGTCCCAACTCAAAAGGACAGTTTAGGCAACTTCACAGCTCAAATAGTAACTAATGAGATATTCAAGTGCTTTTACAAAAAAAATATGAGCTTTTAAATGCACTGGCCCACTTGCCTATACATCCACAGTAAGTGTTTTACTGAAAATATAGTTCCTGCTCCTTTTTACGAATTGAGGATTGCATTGAAATTATTGTTTGTAGAATTCAACAGCATGTCACTGATTGTGTCCATAGGCAATCGTTTAAAAACAACCCAGAGTATGTTTTAATATATGTGACCCTGGAGCACAAAAGCAGTCTTAAGTCGCTGGGGTATATTTGTAGCAATAGCCAAAAATACTTTGTATGGATCAAAATTATCGATTTTTCTTTTATGCCAAAAATCATTAGGATATTAAGTAAAGATCATGTTACATGGAGATACTTTGTAAATTTCCTACCATAAATATATAAATACTTAATTTTTGATAAGTAATATGCATTGCTAAGGACCTAATTTGGACAACTTTAAAGGCAATTTTCTCAATATTTTGATTTTTTTGCACCCTCAGATTCCAGATTTTCAAATAGTTGTATTTCGGCTAAATATTGTCCTATCCTAACAAACTATACATCAATGGAAAGCTTATTTATTCAGCTATTCCAAAAAATTGACCCTTATGACTGGTTTTGTGGTCCGAGGTCACATATTTAATAGATCCTAACAAAAACTCAAGACAAATAGTCTTGCCAGACTCCGCTACATTTTTTCCCTGAAGCTTCTTTTGCAAGTAAAGTCAACTCAGTCAAATCAAGGCAGTATCATCGCACCACTAAATTCATGTAAAGTTTGAAACGTTTGGGGTGAAGAGGCTTTAAAGGCGTGTATGTAACGCATCGGATCCACAGGCTGAAGAGCACTCCACCTCTGTTTTTGTTCCCTTCTATATCCTCCTCTGAACCTACTTTAGTTTGCTGCCAGTGGATACTATCAAGCCCAAGACTGGCATTATTCACACGTGCACAATGCTATACTGGGTCCCTTTGGGGAACTGATGACAGAGGACGACCTCGTCCGCATTGAGAAGCAGATCGAGAACCTCCAGGTCATGCACAAAGTGACAGAGGTGGAGAAAGATCTGGAACAGCTGGAGCAAGAGTTGAAGCAACTCCTACCTGTGTCTGCAGCCTTGAACCAAGACCACTTCTCTGTCAACCCCAAACAGGTTCATGGGCAAGCAGAAGACCTGCCTGCCTGGTGCAGCAAGATCTCCACGCTGCTCAAAAGCATGGCCATTCTGCTCGCCACTTTGGGCGGGAAGGAGATCGATATTCTGGGAATGATCAATGAAGGATATACGTACGAAGGCCTGAAGAGTGGAAAAGGCCAGACGGGGATCTCAAATTCTGGAAGCATTGGCCGATCGCAATCATTCTCCACTCGAGAGGAGGTGGAGAAGGAGATTAAGCAGTGTGGCGTGTCTGTGAAGAGCCTGAAAGCCAATTATGAAATTCATAGCCAGTCAATGTACGAGGACGACAAAGCAAACCGCATATACAAGCGGACGAGGTCCTTGCCGGCGGTTAGTGAATGCAGCTACCCCTCAGAGCCCATCCTGGAGGACGAGTTGCTGTTCTCTTTAAGTGAGAGCCTCTCGCAAGCCAGAGATGGGTCGCCGATAGATCAGGATTTACCATTGGTGAATGAGGAACCTATAACGCAGTCCCATGTACCTTTGATGTACACTGGGCCTGGATCATCTGACTCAGAGCATCATGACCAGCCTACGAATCCACTAACCTCAGAGCATCTCACCCGCAGTCTAGAAGTGCAGACGGACCTGAGCTACGTCCAGGAGTGCATCGAGATGCGCAAGGAGAGGATTGTGTTTCTGTTCCTGGAGCACTGGAGAAAGTACACAATGACTGAAGCCTACAAGTGCTCAGGTAGAGGGAAGACTCTGAGTGTCGAGGAGAACGACTCCCATTCCCTGTATTATCACAACCTAGCTAAGCCAGATGGCACCATGCAAACGGAGGATGACCAGCTGCTGTATTTCATGAAACAGAGACAGGTGGTGGGAAATCTTCTTGGCCACTGGAGGACCATTATGAGCCAGGTGCCCACGCGACAAATCCGCAGACTCAGTCGAGCTCAGATGATCTACTGGCCCGAGCACTTCCTTCCCCACATCAATGGGTCTCCGGTTCAATATGAGAGTCTAACCCTTGACCTTTTCATGCTAGGCTACTTCCAGCTTCTGGAGATGAACATGTCGCGCACTGAACGGAAGTTTCGCCACTTGCTTTGCTACGAGATGTTTGACAGACTAGGCAGTCATCCGTGGGAAGTGATCCGCCAGTTCCACCGAGAGGTCATGGAGAGCCTTGAGAGTGGGAAACGCGATTGGTCGGATGGCTTCGAAGATATCAAGGTGAAGTATTTCGGTGACTCTATGGAGGGCAGTGGGCTACTGGAAGCGGCTGAGCTCATTCTGCCTCCGGAGATTCTGCAGGCATCCGTGAATATATCGCAAGACGCTCCAGCCGATGCAGATCTCCCAAGTGTTTCACCACCAGAAGTCCCTAATGAACACCCAGACGACTCTGCAGCGGCCACCCAGCAGGGCACTTCTGAGAACTCAGCTGAGACTCTTATAAATGATACGGAAATACAGAAGAGTAGTACTGAAGTTCAACTACCACATGCAGCACAGGATGCACCACAGTCAGAAAACGCAGTACCGCAAGCAACCGCAACAGCGGAAAGCCCCCAGACACAAGCCCCATGCATTAATACTGTGAACGAACAGAGCCCAGCAAATATTAAAGAGGAGCCCAATGAGGACTCCATCAAGCTTATCTATGAACTTAAAGAGTTTAGCAATGAGGAAATTATTAGATACATTGATCGAAGCTTCGCCTTCTGGAAAGAGAAGGAGGCTGAGATGTTTGACATTTGACTTATCAGGTCAACTTATTTGAAGGATGAAACACAATCATCAGGAGATGCTTTAAGCAGTTCAGCAAGCAGTTTGAGGCAGTTTACTGCCGGAAATGTCAGAAGAAGCAATCTAATGTTGAGCTGTAATGGTTTTAGAATTCAAGTTAATAGCATCATGCTGAATGAAATATATATCTATTTGTTTAATAGCCATGAAAAGCTTTAGAGATACAAATACACAGGGACAAATAAAAGCCTACAAACAGCTGCAAGCTGTGTAAAATGTATTTATTTTGTAAATTGCTATCATGCAGATAAAACAATAAATGCATAGAAATCATAGCACTACATATCACAAGGTGAAGTGACGGAAAGCTTGCAGTCTTTCTAGCAGAATATCAGCTTTTCACTGAGTGTGTATGATTCAAACAGTCGAATAATACACACAGGCTTTAAGTGTGCTAATTCATTTCAACAGTCATATCTGTCTGTTCAAAGTGCTTTAAATCAGTGGTTCCCAACCCTGGTCATGGAGGCACCCCAACACTGCATGTTTTGCATGTCTCCTTAATCAAACACACCTGATTCAGATCATCAGCTCATTAGTAGAGACTCCAAGACCTGAAACTGGTGTGTCAGACTGAGAAAGGAGATATGCAAAATGTGCAGTGTTGGTGTGCCTCAAGGACCAGGGTTGGGAACCACTGCTTTAAATCATCCATCAATGAAGCTCAAAATACATTTTCTTGAAATTAAATGTAAAAGTATTCTGACCATTTTTAAAACTAGCATTTTGTTCATGAATTGATTTCTTTCAGATTCATTTATTAAAAGCCATTCAAATTTTGTAACTTTTAACTGTTGTTCGTTCTTATTTGTATAACTTACAATTGAGAGTATCACAGACATAGATTACAGCTAAAATGTGTTTTATATCATCTGTTTTAAATGGTTTGTTCTGCATGTTGCATAATTATTTGGAAATGATCAGATTTGTTGTTTAGGAAAAGAAGGAACGTGCTCCCTCTTAGTGTTCTTGCCGTGTTTTGAGTTATTTAAGAACACACAACTCTTAGTTTCTGAACATAATCAATGCCTTTATTCATTCAACAATGACACATTTGTAGATGTGTAAGAATTCTTGCCCTATTGTTTATCTTTCAGTTTGATTGTCTTTTATTACCAATTGTTTTTGGCAGTGTTGTTTTCAAGAGGTTTTGAAAAGCAGATGGATTTCTACTTAAGAAGGTTTTTATTGCAATTGGTATTCATAAGAGTTTTTTTTTTTTTTTACACCTAACATTGACATTTATATTGTTCCACGTTTGAAGTGTCAGTTTGATGGTTTGTTCGTTTTTGAGAAATACTTACAAAATTAAATAAATCTAAAGTTTATGATTGGACACTTTCATTTCATTTTCATTTGTGATTTCCTATTATAATTTTAATAAAATGATTGAACACCTTTATAAGGTTTAATAATAGCTTTTAATAAAGGCCACTGTTTCCATTTAATAGTATTTCTTAGTACAATAATTAATTGCTCTACAAATAATGAACTTTTAGTTAGGTTCCATTAACTTAATTAGCTAAAGAGTTAAATCAGAATTAGAGAGTTAACTATGGCATCAAAGCTATTTTTGGAGTCAAGCTCAAGCTGTGTTTTAGAGGGCATTTAGCTGCCATTTCCTTAAGAAGGCAGGACAGTAGTCTAAGTGTGATTTCATCTCCACAAGCATTGAAAGAATTTCAAGTGGAAAAGTATGTAATTGCAGATACTAAATAAGCACCATGTTAAAACTTTGTTCTGCTGCATGTGTTGTATATTTTAAGGTAAGTGTTTAAGGTAAATGTTTTAGGTGACAGCTCTCTGATTATATCAAATGAGTGGTAACACTTTATTTTAAGGACCATCACACTGGTATAGTGACCATCTCACTGTTAACTAGTTGCTTATAACAATGCCTATTTATAACATTTTGGCAGTTTAATAGTACTTATAAAGCACATATTAATGCCTTATTCTGCATGACCATATATTAGCTCACTCAATCCTTCCCATACCTGAACCTAGCAACTACACTAACTATTAACAAGCAGCAAATTAGCAGTGTATTGAGGCAAAAGTTGTAGTTAATAGTTACTTAATAGTGAGAACTGAACCTTAAAATGAAGCGTGACCAAATGGGTTAATTTCACAGAGCTATATTTCAGGTCATATTTCCACAACCAAAATGAAAAGAAATATTTTATTCTGAATGAAGAAAATTAAGCTTATTTTTTACCCTTACACTATCTATCTATCTATCTATCTATCTATCTATCATTGTGTCCAGACAGGATTCGTTAGTAAGAGCCGAATGAAAATTACAAATAAACTCTAAAATATCTATAGACAGTTTTGGGGGAAACAGTCATAAATATAATGCAACAGTGTATAATGGTACAAAAATAGGCTGTATTTTCTTTATGCAAAATGTTTATTTTATGTGAAATATATCATTTTCGTGAGATTTAGCAGAATATTTTTCTATATGCATAGATGTATCTCTCTGTTGGAGAATGTCTTGCAGTATCTCTCTTAAATGCAGTTTTTAGTAACTTTTACAAACCTTTCAACTCAATAACAATGGATTGTCTTTGCATTCTATAGATTCAGTAAAGCCTTCTTTATGGACAGATTATATATTTATGTGAGCTGATACAGAACGTCATTTACATTTGTTTAATTATTAGTCAAAATCTGAAGGCAACCCATCATTGCAGTATTACATTATTAATGGAAGAACACCTAATTGCTTAATCTGATTCTTATATGGCAAGAAATGCCATCAGCGTGTTTTATCATTCCTAGTTGCACTCTCTAAACTTTCTTTATCTACCTAAGCATCTTCATCGATCTATTTTTATTATTATTATATATTTTTTTTTACCTCTGTTTTTTTTTTTTTTTCTTGGCATGTAATTCCCAGGGGAATAATGAAATATTAAGACACAGATTCGTTTACATAGATACTCGGGCTGTTACCAGTGATGTGGAGTTGAGGTAATCAATCCGCGCTGAGGGGAAATGAGAAGCTGAAGAAGGAGAAGCCGCCTCCTCCGCTGGGCTATAGTTACATCTAATGGAGGAAGAAGATCACTTTTCACACTGTGTGCACACACCGCCTGTCTGAGAGCAGAAACTGTCTACATTTTAGGAATATGCTAAAGTGTTTTGGCCCAATAACCATGACATTTTTCAAAGATTGGGTGTTAGTATGTTTGCACTGAAGCACTTGAGTCCACCTCTAAATATAACAGCCCAAAACTGCACTTAACCAATATAGTGAGAGTGGCTTTGCTATTGTGAATATGTTCAGTACACATTTATCATGGCCTGCAACATTCATGATTGAAACTCTCTTTCACATGCAGGCCTATGAAGTGAAATCCTGTTTATTTATACGGTGATAAGATTAGTTCTTTTTTTTAAATGCAGACAAATTATGTTTATATCAGTTTAATTATTCAGCTTTTCAGTGTTTCCAGTATTCCACAATTGAAGATATGTTTTCATACTGGTTTTGTGGTTTGTATTTATAGACTCGTATCCCTTTTTTTTTGGGGCACTGTAGTGAAAAAAAAAATTTTTTCTGATCTTCTCTGTGTGTGTCAGGCTGAAGAAGAGGCGTCCCGTTTGGCTTCATTGCCTGCCTGGAGGAGAGATATCATGAAGAAAAAGATGGAAGAAGAGAGGCGAGTTAAAGTGCCAGAGCTCTTTGTCTTTCTGTTTGCCTCTGACTGTCTCCTGTGTTTTTCTGTTTATTGTCTGTAAACCTCATTCAACCGTCAACCTCAAGTTTTCTATACATTCTAGTTTTTACTACTGTGGTAAAGTTGATTATATATGTGGCACATTTATAATTCAATTTAGTGTTTATCTTGAAGAATGAACATGTTTTGCTTGCCAATTTCAAATACCATAGTAATATCACTAGTAATATTACAGTTATCAGTAATATAAGAGTAATAGCTTTATTTATATCATTCATAACTAATGATTAAGATAGCTAGAACTGCCTTTAGTATGCCTGACATTTCTTCCATGCAAATCTGTAAATTTTCTGTCTTTTACTTTCAATGTCTTGTGTGGATTATAATACCAAAGTGATAAAATGTAAGTAAAACCGTATTTTCCATTGTAGTGTTTTTTAGTTTTTTTTTATTTTGTTGTAGTATATTGTAGGCAAATGTACAAAAATGTAAACATATACATGTAATCCTCTATTTCTTTTATCCACTCCTGGATGGACAGGGAACATAAAAGGTAAGACACTGACTAGTGATAGCAGTACTAGTGATAGTTCTAGATAGAAGTTGTTCCTGTTTCTGACATTTGGATTGTATTAATGTGCATGATGTCATTTGATCAAAAACGTGAATGTACCAACTTTTCTTGTTTCTCCTCGTCCCTGCAGAAAAGAGGAGGAACGGCGGCGAATGGAAAAGGAGAACGAGGAGAAGTCGGAACTGGAGCGACTACGAACGCTAGGCTACGATGAAACCAAGCTGGCGCCGTGGCAGCGGCAGATTATTTTAAAGAAAGGCGACATAGCGAAACAGTAGTAGACTCCCCGTCACCCCCTCGGCTCTCGCACAGCTCTCTGCTGGTGTATAACTGTAGGACACTGTTGAGAATCTGCCAGACCCTTTAGACACAAACCAGACGGCGTTCTGCTCGATGAGCACTTCAGCAGCGCTTCGTCTGAGTCTCAGTGTATCCTGCATGTTGTTGAGCTCTGAAGATGCACTGTACCGTTAAAGGGTAAAAAATGAATGAAACTAATGTTTTAACTGTGGTCATTGTTTACCTGTTTTGAAAATCATTTGCAGCGTTCCCCACCTGACCCATTAGCATCTCATTTTAAATCTTTAGTAATATTTTCAATTATAAGTAGAACATATATGTCAAGGAAATCACATGTAGGCTACTGTGCTTGAAAGCTTTTTTTAAGTTTACTTTATGTAATCTGTTAAGTATGATAGTCCTGAACAGGTGTTATGGCACAATGTATTCTTACATAAAGTAAGTGACACTTTGTGTTATGGTGCATCTATGTTTCTTACATAAAAAACGCAATTTGGAAATGATACATTATATATAGAGAGAGAGAGAAACAAATGCAAAAAAATAAGCATTTTACCAGTAGTCTCTTTGCACTGTACATATACATGTTTCACCAAAAGGTGGAGTCAGAGATCACAACTTATAATAAGTCTTCCCAAATAACAAAGCTCAGAATGTATTTCAGACCTACATAACAACCACTAATGAAAACAGATTATGAAATTATAGTGAACCCCATAATTGCAGAAGAGAAGCCAATGTCTTAAATATTCTATTGCATCTGATGGTCTAAGTAAAAACATCCCGGTCACCCTTTGTACTGAGATTTACAGGACGTTTACATTGGCGGGGGAAAGGATGTCATGAAATCATGACGGTGTATTCAGCCATGCTGCGCTCCCCAATAATGAAGCTGTATTTTCCTTCTCTGCTTGGCAACTGTAGCTTGTTAATGTATTTCAAGTAATTAGACATCAGAAAAGTGCCGGATGTGAATCTGTATGTGTGTGTGTGCATGTGTGAGAAAGTATATGTGTGTGTATATTTACACATGCATATAATATGTCTGTCCTGTGTCATTGACTGTGCGATGGGTAGAGTTGATGTATTTTGAGTGTTTTTTTTTTCTGTACAACTGTAAAAAAAAAAAAGAAAAAAAAAGACATAGGTTACTACAAGTGATAAGCATGGTCCTCCTTGAGTTTGGGAACATTCTGCTTTCGTTTATCAGATGCCATAATGATGCTGAAAACAAAGATGTGAACGTCATTGCCATTAGAACATTTTCTATTCATAATTATTAATGAATTCTCCATTTAGAAATACTTATACACTCTTATTGGCCAATGATATCAGGGTCAGTTACATGTTTTTTTCTGTTTTCAGCCTGGCTTTCATAGGCAGACTATTGTAAACTTTCATTTTCCCAGTGGCAACAGTAATGTAATAAAAATCGAAACAACAATTTGTGCCTGTGAAAGAGTTAATACACATCACACAAAAACACATCCAATACATTATATTACATTATATCAAGTGACAGTCCAGTTGCTCATGCTTAAACTGTTCTTTTCATGTTATATTTTAACATAACAATAGAAGATAGCTTTCATTTAATAAGCAATTTAATCAATTTAATACATTCATTAATAGAATTTACTATTTTTATTTTATTTATGCTGAAGGTTCATAAACACAAGTTAAGTTACAGGACTGAAGGTTACAAATGCCAATATCTTGAAATATCACTGAATTGAATTTGTCAATATGTATATATGATACTCTCTCTCTCTCTCTGTATATATATATATATACAGTGTTGGGGAAAGTTACTTTTAAAAGTAATGCATTACAATATTGTGTTACTCCATAAAAAAAGTAACTAATGACGTTACCTAGTTACTTTTTATGGAAAGTAATGTGTTACGTTACTTTTGCGGTAACTCGCGTTACTTGTAATGAGTTACCCCCAACACTGTATATATATATATACAATTATTTCTATTATCGACAGTAGCTTAACTTTACGGTTAGAGAAAGGTTAATTTCACATCATACTACAAAAATAAAAGTATAAAACTACCCTCACTTAATCAGAAGAATCAACTTCAATGAAGGTTTAGCTTATGTAGTGACACACTTTACCAGCAGATGGCGCAATGTGCATTATTATTATTATTATTTTACCATTACAGTAGGCTACCAGAAAACCACTATATTAAAAAATAAAATGAATAAAACACCTCCACATCTTATGTGTGGCCATAAGTGCACAAATTAATGCTATCTCATTTGTATGTACAGAAATACAAACGTTTGCTACTGATTTTGTGTGAGATTTAGAGGAAGTTCCGGTGGGTGTGGCTGAGCTCACCTGGAGTGACGTAGCGCGAGCGATACAGACGCCGTGTAGGTGCAGGAATGCGTTGAAGTTCTGCTAAAATATATATGTTCAGGATCCGTGCAGAGAAATCTGACATCTGCACATTTTCAGAATCACAGTGCATGTGATATTAGCCGGGTAAGTCAATCCTGTATTTATGTATGGCCTTTAAACGGACTTAAAATGCTCTTTGTTTTGAGAACTAGTCAATCTGGGCGTGAAATGCAGTTACAGTGAGTTGTTTATCCAGATGACTAGGATCAGTTATATGTTAAAATATTCCCGCAGCAGTGTCGTTTATCCAACAGCTATGTCAAGAAAACTATAATGTTGTTTTGTCACAATAAAGTTTTTTATTGGCATATGTGGTTCCGTGAAGAACCTTTTACATCCATTTTTTTTTTTTATAATTATATGAGTATTATACGAAACTGAACATGATCTGTGCACCTGTTTCCGTCATCAAGGGACATTCCAAACAGGTGTGAGAGGATTCCCGGAAAAAAGGCGCTATTAATAGCGGCAGTGAGTATCATGCTTTGATAATGGTGAACAATGTGTAAAAATAGAATTAAAACAGACAGAGCTGCATGCAGCGCACTTTCAAGATGAGATGAATTATGTGTTATGCTGTAACCTAATATTACACACGTTGATGTAGTATAGGCCTATAACCGAAATGATACTTGCTTATTTCATAACAACTCTGATTACTCATCATTACAATTGTTATATTTCATATGTTAGGCTATTTACATATGAATATATTATTTAATAGTTTTTAAACGAGAGTTAATATAATTAATGTGACACAACTGCCTCCTGTAGAGCTGCTTGCTCATTTCGTAAATAATGAACTTTGAATCGGTCTTCTCCTTTGCATTTCAAATTGTTTCGTCATTTATACATTTTATAACGTTAAATGTTATTTTCCTGTTTATTAATGTGAAGCTGCTTTGAAGTAATCGGTGTTGTATAGAGGGCAATTTAAATAAATGTGACTTGACGTAATATATCATTTTAAGTAGTTTTTATGATGATGCTAATAATTTATGCTGTTTTGAATTTCAAAAGAATAAAATGGTCTGCACTCCTTTTTTTTTAATTATTCATTTATTTATTTTTAATCTTGCAACACACAGAGTGCATACAGATTAGCAACATAGAGAACCTGTGTGCATTGAATTTATTTAATACACGAGTTTCACAATTTGAGTTGAATTACTGAAATAAATGAACTTTTCCACGACATTCTAATTTATTGAGATGCACCTGTACATATTTGAATGGGGGGGGTTTATTTGTTTTTTTTAACCAATTTTTACTGCAATCAAGAATTGCAGTAATGCGAATCTAATAACAGTCCCTATTGGGAATAATGGAATTACAAATCCCAAAAGTATTTTATTTTAACCATTATAATTAAAATCGTGTCCCAATATAAAACAACAACAAAACGTATGCTTCATTTTATTTATGCTATTGGTTTCTTTTGATTTTGGAGTGAAATGTGAGCTGGAATTGTTTCATTTCATTATCTTCAGGTGATAATTACATTATATTAGCAAAGTCTAGATCATAATAACTTTCACTTATGCTTCATTAATGGGTGGAAAGAGGTAGTGAATATTTCTTTACAGGTATTGTAAAGCTCTGTTCACCTGCAGTGCTCCTAACCTGCCCTTGTCTTCCGTTGAGATCTTTTACCGTGAAAAGGCTTCCCACCCTTGCAGTTTCAAATTACATTCAGTCAGAATTACAGCTGAGTAGTCTGTCACTCCACCCATCTCTGTTGTAACAGGTTAGTGTTGTGGTCTGCTGTTGACCCCAAACTGAGGTTCTTCAAGTGACAAACACTTTTCTCCAGCCGACCAGGGAACCGGGTGAAGGTGCCATGTCCCACAGAAATTCCTATGGCTCCACGGGGAACCAGTCTCTCCTTCTTCCGGAGAGCCGCTTCAGCTCGGTGCTTCAGCTGGAGCAGCCGTCTGGAAGTTCGTCCTCGAGCATTGACCTGTCCAGAGTGGATTCCCCAGAGGATGAGCAGAGAACTGTAGTGCTCAGCACCCAGAGCGAAGCGGCTCGCAGGCAGGGCGCTCGACAGCTCATCCCCAAGAACCTGGCTGTGAGCAGCCGCCCAAGAAACCGCTACCACACCACCGTGGTGACCCTTCCCGTCAGCCTGCAGCCCACAGACCTCTCCTGGGAGGACTATGACAGTGATTCGGGCGATGGGTTTTCGCTGAGGAGAAATCGCAGGAATAAATCGTATCGTGCTGCCGTCACTAGTCTGAATCTTGACGCTTTGCCGAGTGAACTCCAAACAGAAATGCTGACACCCCTCAGTGAAGAGAAGGCGGGCAACCAAAAGCAAGCACAGAAATCAGGACGCAAGGCAAGTGTCTTGCTTTCGGTTTATTTTGTTATTAAACACACCTGGATGCTTTCGAATGGACATAGTTGGTTGAATCCACAATCAAGATTTTGATTTTATAAGACATTGTGAAATATATTGTGGGAGTGTTATTTTTTTGGAGGCATTTATATCTAGATCTTATTATAAGCATCTTATAATCTAGATTTAAAGAATCAAATACTTAAGATTTTATGATTGGATCATTGCAGTGAATAATATGTTTCTGGCATGTTGTAAGATTTGGCAACGATTCATTTAATCATACACTATATTGCCAAAAGTATTGGGACACCCCCTTCTAATGATCAGGTTTGACTACTTTAGTAATTTCCATGAGTACAATGTTTAATGTTAAAGCATATAATGATATTCTAGGGAAATGTGTGCTTCTAATTTTATAGCAACAGTTTGGACAGGACCATTTTCTATTCTAACATGACAATACCTGTGTGTACAAGGTTCTTATTTTAAGTTTAAGTTTTTAAAGTTTTTCACCCTGTAGAAAAAAAAAAAATCACATTGTCATATGTATTTATGCTGTCTTTCCTCGCAGAGAACATTGGGGAGGATCAGGAACAGGAAGCAAGCTGGCTCATTTAAAGATGGTAAAAAAAAAAATGTGTTTAAATACATAAGGTAGTGTACTATATACAGCATCCATTCATCTATCCATCCATCCAATCAGATAGCATTGTGAACTTTCTAAGTTTGCCTTGATGAACTGTATGCACCTCAAAAAACTATACATTCAGCAGTAACACCTTATAATAAGTCCCATTAGTTAACACTAGTTCATCCATTAAATATTAAATAATTATTTAAAATTAAATAAACATAAAACATTGCTAGTTCATGTTAGCTCAGGTCCATTAAATTGTATAAACTACTACAACTTTTGATTATAGTATTCGTAAATGTTTAAAATATAATGTAGTTAACAAATGGAACCTTATTGTAAATGCTACCAATGCAGTTTAATTCGTTTTTTGGGTAAAGTGAGATGGATTGTTATTCCTTCAATAATTGTTGTAGAACTTCTAAGGCCAGAAACTTAAAAAGTGATACTATACGAGCTGCAGCGGGTTGAAAGTTGTTCATTATCTTCTTACAGAGCCGCGGTTTTACCAGGAGATCAAGGAGCGAGGCCTGAACGCCAGCAGCCTGAGCACAGAGGACGATGAGTTCTCCCCGACCGAGCCACTGGAGGAGGATCAGGGCATCGTGGTGAAGAACTACAGAGCAGCGTACATGACATGGAGTCAACTGCAACAGGTGAAGAGGACCAAATCCCTGCTGAAGGGCCACTCGCTTGAGATCGAGCTGTGGCTGAAACCTCTGAGAGGGGAGAAGTGTCAGAGCTGTGAAATACCTGCATTAGCATAAAACATTTAGAGACTTCAGAGAAACAGTTTTATGATTTGTTTTAACTTGGGACATAGATGCAGTGCATGTATTGCATTAAATTATTAATTTAAATGTAAAACAAAACACATGTATTAAATAGAAATAGGTTAATATTTATAAAAGAGTGTTGCTGATTCTTAATAAGTACATTTATTGTTTTATTTCAAACTTAGGTGAAAGATTTGGGCATTTTGGATATCATCTCCCCTGAAGAACGCAAAAGACAAGAAGTGAGTCTATTTCAGGTCTCTTATGCTCATCAAGGCTACATTTATTGATTAAAAAAGTGCAATAAAAAACAGTAATATTGTAAAATATTGCAATTTAAAATAACTTCCATATTTTAATTTAATTTAATATTATGTTTATTATAATAAAATGTAGTATATTTATTATGTAGCAAAACTCAAGTCATTCCGATATGTTGATTTGCTGCTCAAATATTAGTAATAGTTGTTATTAGCAGTGTATCAGAATGATTTCTGAATGTGTGTTCTATGTCACACTGCAGTAATGGCTACTGAAAATTCAGCTTGCATCACAGAAATAAATGACATTTTAGAATATATTCAAATAGAAAAGTTACTATAAATTGTAATAATATTTCACAATATTACCATATACCTGTATATACTGTATAATCTAATATATATATATATATATATATACACACACACACACACACACACACACAAACGGGCATCTCAAAAAATTTGAATATCATGGAAAAGTTCTTTATTTTTTGTGATTTAATTCAAAAAAGCAAACTTTCTTATATTCTAGATCAGTGGTTCCCAACCCTGGTCCTGGAGGCACCCCAACACTGCATGTTTTGCATGTCTCCTTAATCAAACACACCTGATTCA